CAAAGCAAAAGGGAAGAGGAAAGGAGTTGGTTGGCAGGTTGATTCTCGATCGGTGGAAGGAATAACCTCCATTGTTGTCGCCGAGGAAGGTTGAAGATGGCCGGCTGCTGGTGATGGAAGGAGGAGGGTTGGTCGTCTGGTGGGAGAGACAAAAGGGGAAATAATCAAAAGGGGAAAGTCAAATCGTTTTTTCCCAGTCCCCAAATTTCTTCCCCTTTCCAATGTGGGTGATGCCAGCTAATGAAGGATTTAATGCACAAAAAAGGCTGCTCAATCCTCACCCTACATTACCACTAATTTAGATGGACGGTTTTGGATGGGGGTGTCGAAAATCAGTCCCCTCCATGGGGTAGTCAAGCTAACCGATCCCTAAGGAGGGGGGGAGCGGCGGTGGCGGGCAAGCAAAGGGAGGAGAGGCGACTAGCAGAGAACACCATAGACACCAGAGAGAGAGGCAAATTGAAGAGACCCAACTTAGAAATCCACTGATGTAAAAAAAACTGAAAAATGAGGAAGGCGACAAATTAAAGAGGAAGGGAGCGACGACCGGAAGGAAGAGGGATGAGAGAGTGGTTGGTAGCGTTTGGAGGGAAGGGAGGGATGATAGAGTCGGAGGGATGAAGAGGGATTCTTAGGGTTGGGGAAAATGAAGAAATTGAAAAATCATAAATATGAGTAGTAATCACATGTGTTAATTTTTTGTTTTCAAAACTATCATTAACCTAATTGTGGTCATCATTTAAAAAATAGACAGAGAAAAATGATGGAGAGTGTAGATGTAAGTTGTCACCATAACCCATTCAAAGTGTATATTATGACTAAAGGGTGCATATATATATATAATTAGTACTCAACTAACATGATTTAAACTATTTATAGAGAACTATTTAATTAGTGATAAATATAATTTTGTTATAGTAAAAATTTAAAACTACATTAGATGAGAATAGTTAATTTTTAAGTAAGTATATCTTTCTAAGTAGATATTATAGTTATTCTAGAGCCAAGAGTTAGAGTAATTAAGACAAAAAAGTATCTTATGGAAAGGTTCACTCATTGGGAGTATAAGATTGTTAATAATGCTACTAGTTTGGCGAAGTTGTGGATGGTTCATCCTACTTTTACGGATTTAGTAAAATCTGTCCAGCAAACTGAGTACCTGAAAGCTGGAACTCCTCTAGCGAAGATTTGTTGAAGAAACTAAACCGTAAAGAATAGTACTATGACTTGAGGGGAACTCTGAAGTAAAAAGAGAATGAACTGGTGATTGCTCAAGCTGAAGCTCTATTTGCTCCTCGTGTTATTACCGTCGAACTCAAGAACTAGATCTCACTTTTTGCAGAGCTATTTTATGGTTTCACTTCTAGGATTAGGGGTGGCGACCGGTCGGTCTCAGTTTAACCGAAAACCAAAAACTCGGTTATCGGTTAAACCAAGCCACCCCACGCGGTTGCCGACCGAGAGAGGCACACAGCACACCAACCACCGACCGATCCACAACCGATTTTGGTTCGATTGGCCGTGTAACCGAAATTGTCGCGGAGAGAGGGTTGGGGCGGGGGGGGGGGGGGGGGGGGGGGGTTCACGGGTAGGGCTGGATGGTGGTGGTTGATGGAGCCGACGAGGGTTGTGCTGGAGCCGGCGGGGGTGTGATGGAACCGGCGGGGGGCCGCACGGGGTCGGCGGGGGGTCAGAGTCGCCGAAGTCGCGGGTCGGGCTCGCAGGGGTTGAAAATTGGAGGGGTCGGGGCTCGCCTGGGGGTAGGGGGTCGGGGCCCAGGGGTCGCGGGGGTCGGGTGTCGCATCGTCGAGTCTGGAATTGCCGAGTCACTAGGGAAGGGAGGAGGCGTCACAAACGGTTTGGTCGTTTGGATTGGAGGCTGGAGGGCTGGAGGCGGCTGGGGGAGACTGAGATTGAGGTGAGGTTGATGAAGGAGACATATAGGGTTGGCGGGTGTTTTTTTTTTGGAATTGAAATTGTTGAAACGACACCGTATAGACATTGACGGAAAATCAGTCGGCGAACTTCAGTTAGCCGGCTTCAGTTACTTGGCTAACCAAAGAGGCCAATTCCTTTGCCGGCAACCGATCGTGTTTGATAAACATTGATTTTCGGTTAGCCACTAATCGACGGTTATCGGTTAAATCGACCGGTTAGCCGCTAACTGGAAAACGAACTGCCACCCCTATCTAGAATCCCCATCAGTCAATGGGAACATGAGCTGCATTTGGCCGCTAATACATTCAAAGAGAAGTCTTTAATTGCTCAAACAGGGAGTCTCTTAGGAGGTCTTTTCTAAGCTCTATTTGGAGAGAAAAAAGTTCCATCAAGTTTGCAGGTGAGGTTAAGTCCTTTGCTTACCCAAATTAGGAGTGAAATTGAAATTGAAGCTTTGCTTTACTTTGTTTATTTTGTCACTAGTACAGCAGCTTAGTACAAAGATATATTTTGAGTTTTGATTAGCGAATGTTTTGATCCACTCATTTGGCCGAGTGTGTTGTCAAAATAGTACATTTCATCACAAGATAACTAATCCATAAAGAAGACTCTTTAAATATTTATTATTTATTTTGCATAAGAAATGCTCTTGAGTTTAGCATCAATACAACTTGTGCACATATGAGTAGAAGAAATGCCACCTTTATTAGGACCGAGAAGTTGCTGTTTAAACATAGACATAAGACGATTGGATTTCGGATGACCTAAGCGTGCATGCCACAGTTCCCATGCATTTTTAGATCGACTCACAGAATTTGAAACACTAGACACCGACGATGTAGGACTATTGACAATCCTAAGAGACGGACTACTGACGTTGGGGACACTATCTGGTGGCGTGACTCCCGATCGACTCGAGAGCTCTTCTAGGTGAAAAACCCGGCCCTGTTTACTCCCTCGCCCGATCTGCCTCCCCGTCTTCAGGTCGTGTATAACACAACCAGAGGGTCCAAACAAAACGGAGCAACCTTGCTCGGTAAGTTGCCCAACAGAAACTAAATTTGGAACAAGATTAGATACATGGAACGTGTTGGGCAAATCGATTTTAGGCGTGTGAACCTGACCAATGGCACGTACATGTAAAGGTTGGCCATTAGCTACACGTAACATCATATTAGGAACAGGGGCCTTGGCATTCAATTGACATGAATCCTTTGTCATATGGTTAAAACAACCAGAGTCCAAAAGCCAAGGTCGAGTTTTACCTGAAGCTTGAAGCGCGGCAAAGGCGCTGCTGATCGCCCCAGGTAGGGACCTTTGAAGGGCTGCGTTCACGACTTGCTCGACAGCAGCGACATCGACGGTGGGTCCAGGGACAGCAAGGGTAGTAGGAATAGCAAACACCGGGCGATCGGCAGAAGTGCCAGCGACAACAGCTCGAGCAGCGGATCGTTGGGCCGACCTACAATCAAGAACAATGTGACCAGTGCGTTTACAATAAACGCAAAAATTCTTATGGCGGCAATGTTTTTACAGGTGGCCCTTCTCGTGGCAATGATGACACTCGACGTTGGAGTTGGTCTCAGCGGTGGAGACGCGATGCTGGAACTGAGGCTTCTGCACCGCGGAGACAAGAGACTGGGAGGAATCAGTGGCGGCAAAAATGGTTTCGCCCTCGCCGGGGTGAACATCGAGCTGGGCCTGGGTACGCAATCGCGTCTCCTCGCGAACCAGGAGGCCGAGGACACCATCGAATTTCAAGTCCTCACGGTTGAGCAGTGTTGAGCGAATCGTTTCAAATTCGGGCCGTAATTTCATGAGAAATTGACAGAGGCGGGAGCGTTGACGATCCTCAAGGACTTCAGCCGATGCTTCTTTTGATCGAAGGGATGCCGTGAGGAGATCTTGCTCGATCCAAAGTTCTTGAGCATCACTAAAATAGGCAGTGATATCCTTATTGCCTTGCTCCAATCGACCGAGAGCAAACTCGATCTTGAATTGGCGGGCAGGGTTCACCCGATGAGTAGGTAGCGGCCAGATGCGTCCACATACCAAAGGCAGTCGAATGCAAACGGAGGCCCAGAGCGATCGAGGGATCGACCATGCCTAGTATCCAGGACCGAATCCTGGCGTCATGTTGCTCCCAACGGGAGATTTCTTCTTCCGTAGCCGGCTCAACCGGCTTCTTCTTAGAACCATTGAGAATTCCCAGCACACCTTGTCCTTCAACGTAAACACGGAATTGGAATTCCCAAAAGGCGTAGTTCTTGTGAGTGAGACGTAGATACAACTTCTCGGAATCCATCGTCGAAGGCTCTGATACCATGTTAAAAAACCTGGAAGCTGAGAACGAACACGAACAGATTTACGTGGTTTCCGATACTGCAATGTGCAATACCGACTAGTCCACGGGGAAGATGGGTCTCTTATTCAGCTTAGCTTTTACACTCGGTTACACATGAGTATATATACTACTCTAGCCCTAGCAAACCCTAGCTTCTATTGAATACACGAGATTGCATGGGCTCATTATAGCTAACATATACATGATACACAAGTGGGCCAACAAGGCCAAACCGAGACCCCAAACCCAACGGTCTAACAAAGAGAGCTTTCCATTTATATTGTACTTTTCTTAAATTTGGGGAAATATTTTAAGAGTTTGAGGGAAATTATATAGGTTGAAAGTTGAGAAAAAAGTGAAGTTATGTAAGGTGAGATAGTTTATTAAGAGAAAGATATTTGATGCAAGTGGGAAATTACTGATTCTCCTATATAAGGCACTAAATAGTCGTGGTTATACAAGATGTTTATCGTTTGTTGAGAGACATCCAATAAAAAAATGCAAGATGTTAATCTTCCTTTCACTCGGATACGAAAGGTAATATAAAAACATGTTGTTATGTAGATTTCACAGAATCCGTTGTAGTCTAGTTGGTTAGGATACTCGGCTCTCACCCGAGCGACCCGGGTTCAAGTCCCGGCAACGGAATATTTTTTTTCCCTGTTGTTTCCATTTTTATCCGCTGTCGGGTCTCTAGGGTTTATCTGTCTATATCATTCATGAACAAAAAAATGTCAGCTTAAATCGGGAGCTCTCGCTTCAGCTAGGGTTTAACGGGCTGTGGACGGCTAATCTGTTCTCCAAAGAAAGCCTTCATCTATCTCTCCTGAATTTCATCGTGTCACCGGAGTTCCTAGCTACTCCGTCTACTGTGTTTTTCCAAGTGCTTCAGAAGTCCCATCCAACATGGGGAGGAAGAAGAAATTCATCGACAAGAAGAAATCGGCGACGTTCCAGCTAATGGCGCGGGACTCCTCCGACCCCTTCTTCGATGGTACGCCAGGGAGCGAGCAAGTCTTCGTCCGAGTCGACGAGAATCAATACTCAGTTGACGACGAAGGCGGCGAGCAGCGCGATGACGTGGAATCGGATTCTATCTTCGCCGACGCACCAGAGGATGTAGACGACTTCGTGGAGGGCACTGGCGATGGGGTTCTGGGGATCCCCACGAGATCGGTCGGTGAATTTCACAGTGGATCGTCTTCGTTGCCGGACCAAGTGAGGAGGGAGATTATCGAGCTCGGCTTCCCTGATGACGGCTACAATTACCTGCTTCACATGCGCGAGATTAAAAACACCGGCGGCGGCTCCAGGTATTACGAGAACCCGAAGGCGCTCGACCAGATTCCTGGCGATGTCAAGGTTGGGATTGAAGTTTCCACCTTTACTGTTTGTTTTTGCCTTGTCAAAGCTAAAATTTTGGGTTTTAGAATTTAGAATCGGAGCTGCGGGTATTCATTTCAATGTTCTATGGTTGTTTTGTTTAGGCGTATGATGCTTCCAGAGTTCCGGTGTCTGAAGTGAGAGATGATATTAATAAGGAAGATATGTCTATCTACAGTATAGCAGCAAAGACTGTTGGTGTTAGGATTCAGAAAGTTGTTGATCCTGAAGTGACTGCATTGCTTGATGACAGTGATCTGTCTCGATTCGGGTCTGATGTGGAGGATTTGGAGGAGGATTTCGTCATTCGTGCTAATCTTGCCGAGGAAGGGGACGACAATGATCATTTGGATGATATTATTGGTGGAGCAGTGACCCTGAGTCATAAGTCAGAGGAGGTAATTGATGAGCTGAGGGATGCGTGTTTTCCTTCTATTCATCAGGATGAGAATGTGGAACAAAGGGGTGGCGGTGATTTGATTGTTGAAGCAAGGCCCAGGCGCCTTCTTGATGAGCAATTTGACCAGGTAAGAGAGCCTGTTCAGAAGTTTACGGATCTAGTTTATTCGTCTTAAGCTGTGTATTGCATTTTCTGTTGGCAATGATTGAACATCTATGAGTTCTGCATGGGTGGTCGTTGAAGCTCTTCCTTGGTTCTAATGCTCTGTTAATCTTTTGCAGCTTGAAATGGAAGAGTATGCCACAGATGAGGATGAAGAGGAGGATGGTTTCTGTGGTTATGGAGAAAATGAAGATGAGTGCATAGCAGAGAAGTTGAAAGCAGTTCTTAATACCTCAACAATGGATGCAATGGAACTTGAGGGGAAATACAGAGCACCTGCAGATATAATACATAGTAACGAGGGTCCCGAAAGTGAAGAGTTGTTGAATACTGCAACTGCTGTCCTTCGCCGTACTGTAGAGTACGCCGAGAAGTATGCAAACGAGGATGACGGTGGAGAAGTTGTTCTAGTAGACGAAAGTAGTGATGAGTCGGAGGTCTGGGACTGTGAGACTATTGTCACTACATACTCAAACCTTGATAACCACCCTTCTAAAATTCAAGCTCCAGGAGCTTCGCAGAAGAAGAAGATAGCTGAAACTTTTTCCAAGGCTTTGAACACTCCTGGTCCTGTGATATCTCTTCATGGGAAAGAGAAGATTCCTGTAGGTGTTTTGGCTGGCAGTAGAAAGGCTTCGGCAGCAGAAACATCAAAGGATGAACCTAGCTTGAGAACTGAAGCTCTGAAAAGGAAGCAACACGGGCAAGAGTCTAAAGAGGAGAAAAAAGAGAGAAAGGTATAAGTTTTACTGGTTTATCAAATCTCATGCCTGCCCTCGTTGGATTTTCTTTTACCTGGTTCCTGAGGAAACCTTTTTGGAGTTTGGCTGATATCATTTTTGTGCAATCAGGCTGCTGTGAAGGAGGAAAGGAGAGAAGCTAGGCGTCTGAAAAAGGAAACAAAGGATGTCTATAGAGGTGAAGCTCAGCGTGCACAGAGAGTTGCTGCTGTAGCTGGTCCTTCTGCCATCAGTCTTAGGTAAGGTATGTTAACTATTGGTCGCCTTAACTGATAAATTTTCTAATTTAGTAACCGTTGACCTGAATTGAAGAAGTTATGGATGAGAACTAGGTTTTTTACTCATGTGACTGCTGTCAAACCCCCGGAAACTGATTTGATATTTACCATAACTTAGGTAAAGTTGAAGCAAGATCAGCGCTCAGCAAACATACATTACATTGCAAAAAGACCGTCAAAGTGGAGCTATCTGCACTTAAAAGTGTTGATGGGAACTGTTTGCTTGGTTCTTCATGATGCCTACGCTGAGTGCCTGGATATTTTGTTGTTGTACATCACCATTTTCCCGTAGGTATTTCGTGCAACTATGATTTAGTTGTTTGCATGTTGGCATATAAGCTTGAACACAATATGTAAGCTTTCTGAGAATTCTCTTCTGCTGAAGGCGTGAACAAGTTAATCTTATGTTTATGCATGTTTAAGAGAGGCATTAAACCTTCTCTCTGCATCTGTCATTTTTCATATGGTAGGCTATGCATTTGATGTATTTTCATGTACTTATTCATTACCACCACTCAGAAACCGAAAGTTGAAAACTCGTGTGATAACACAGCTTTTTGGCATTGACCTCATTGATACTCACTCTGCATAATGGTGTGGCACAGAACAAACAGACCTGGTAGGCAAGGAAAACCAAAAAAGGCTTCTGTAAAACAAAAACAGACAGCTAGGAAAGTGTGACCATATCACTCATACTTGTTCATGATCATAGATTCATACTCGACGGCCATGGGGTACTGGGGCATGGCTGCATCCTTTGTTGACAGGTGCAGGATCATAGACCCCGTAATCATCTTCACACACCCGTTGTTGATCTCCAACTGGACGGACAGGTGGTGTAACTGGTATCGGTATATCTGCCGGTGCTAAGAATAGTGATCTTGTTGTTGCTGCTGCTGCTGATGATGCAGGCTGCGCGGTTAGCAGGAGGGCCACCAGGGCCATTGCAACTACTTTGATCACGAGTGAGAAATGATAAACTGACTTCTCACTTGAGCTCATCATGATGCTTTATGTTGCTGATTTTTCATTGCTGTGTCTGTGCATCTTGTGGTTTGCTCATATTTATTTGGGAATAGATGCAGGGGGTGGAGATTGGGATGGTAGTTGCAGTATGTATTACACCATAATCATATATTTATACCTTTGGTCACGTCAGTTGCATGATGCATCTATGTGCATGGTTTTTTTGCGTGCACTTCCACGGAAGCAGGGGTTAGCTCAGAAGTAGTAGTAGTTACCTAAGAGGAGCCTGTTTTGTTGGTTTCATCTAGTGGTGTGTATGGTCTGATCCGGAATCGAATTGAATTTTGAATTAAAATTAGGAATGAACAGGATTGGTATCTGGTTTGATGATTTGGCTTGGGGTGGTCGATCAACTTGGGTATGTGGCTTGATGAAAAATGGTGCGACATGCGTGGTTTTAAATAGGGTTGGGAAACGGTGTATTTTTTTTTTTTTTGATAAAGGTGAAAGGGAAACGGTGTATTTTGGTTTAGGCCGGACATATATATGGTCTACGGTCTAGAACAATGAGATGAAGTATAGATTAGAGGGTAGTAAAAGAAAAAATTACATGATTTAGAGCAGATTACGCCGGTATGATATATACTATTCACACTTGATAGTGTGATAGGTCGTGTTTATTAAAAAATGAACAATTTGTTTAGTTCACCAGACAAAATGTTGAACCAATAATTGGGAAAGATTTGCCTAAAAATTTCTACATGAATGTATAATTTTAATACTCTAAATCTAAGCAAATAATGACACTAGGTTAGAGCAACCTAATATCATATACATCAACATAAAGTTGAATGAATATGCGATTGTCTTTGCTCTCTGGTGGAGTGTCTAGTGTGGTGGAGGGTTTAACATCAGTTACGCTAAACGGAGGGCATTTTGATAGTATCTCAACACGTCAATGGAGATTTAACAACAAATTAACAAAAAAAGTGTGATTAGGGGGGAAAATCAAAGTTTAGGACTTCTCGTGGAAAAAATAAAGTTGAGTTGTTTAGTAGGACAAAATTAATAGTTTAGGGGCGAGATTGACGAAGATACTTAAGTCATTTCCCATGCGCGTTAACGGACATTTCAGAAAAAACCAGGGATTGAAATACCGAACTGTATCAACGGTTCAACCAGAAAAAATTCCTAAAATAGCTAAATCGGTAGATGGTTTTTAGCGATATGAAGCGGTTGAAATATGGTTAAACCACGATTTTAGCATAAAATACCCTCCCGCTGACTTTTCCGATACAACCTTCGATACGGTATTTCAATACTAGGAGAGAACTAATAAAAAGACTAGGTTAGGACAAATCTGGAAGTTAAGTAATCGTGTTCAACAAAAAAATATTGGGGTGTTTAATTGGGGAAAAAACACATGGTTCAGAGGTTGGGGTGTGCAATGGTTCGATTCGGCACGGACCAGACCACACTCAGAAAAACCACGGTTTAATTGTGAAAGACATCGTAGGATCAGGGACCATACCTAGGCTTGGCAACTGGGCCCGAATTCCGGGTACCTGTCCGGGCCCGATCCGTTACCTGGCGGGTTAAATCCGTTTGACCGAATTGTTGACGGTTTTCGGGGAACCCGAAACTCGCTGTAGCCGGTTGACGGGCGGTGATGGTTTTGGTAAAATCCGCCCCGACAAGCCCCGCAACCCGCATTTAGAGAACCCTGCCCCCCCCCCCCCCCCTTCCCACTTCATTCGCGAAAAATCATCTTCCTCTGATAAACCAATCTCCAAGCCCAACCCTTCCCCTTCTGCTTTCTCCTCAAATCTCGCAGTTTTCTCTTCGATTGTAGAGAAAAACGACATTAATCCCTACATTGATTGCTCAAAAGATCAGATACCCAATCAATCTGTTGAAACTCAATCGATTTTTTCGAATCGAGCCTTTCCTGATGGCGATTACAGCTGCAATTGCCCTTAATCGACTCTTTCTCTTCGCCTTGAGCTTTATCTTCTACATCTTCTTCATGCATGCCTTTATAAATAGTCTAATTGATTGTTTTGGCAATTTTCATCACAGATTCTCAGAATGCAAAGTCGCAAACCACTCTAGAAGCTTGTAGCCGCGTGTAATCCCTGTTGAGAATTCCAGTCACTGGAACTGCAGGGAGCACAACTGCACAAGCCGTAAGTCTTCTTGTAGCCTTACTCTGTGGATCTGGTTATTTCTAACTTATGAGTGCGTGTTGCATAATTGCATGTTTAACTCATCCCCTGTTTCGTGATTTCTGTAGAGTTGCAGGGTTACTGACTGCCCTGTTTCATTGATCATTAACTAATCACGAAGATAATTTAGTCGATTTTACAGTCGGGAGTCTTATTAGTACTAGTCATTAGTTCTTAGTTTAAGTTGATTTAACCTTAGTTGTTTTCTTTTTCCTGATTGATGAACAAGTGAGGCAATGGAAGGTGTTGAATTCAGCAACTCTCCCAACTCTCAATCCACACACCCACTCATCAACCCTGAACCCGAGCAGCAGCAACCATTGATTGCTGGTGATGCACCACCAGCAGCTGCTGTGAATGATGGTAATGTAGTGACTGCTGCTGGTGATGCACCAGTCAATGATGGTGAGCCTTCTCCGCTTCCATTTGGGGCCAAACGTCCATTAAAAAGCGATGCTTGGCCTCACTTTACTAGGTTTGTTGATAAGTCTGGTGTGATGAAAGCTAAGTGCAAATATTGCCGTAAGATTCTTGGTGGTGATACTAGCAATGGTACCTCTCATTTGAGGAATCATAAAAAAGTATGTGTTCAAAAACAGATTTATGATGGCCATTAGAAAAATATTGCCACTAATTTCCTTCCAAATGGTTTTCTTGGGAGGAAAGAAATATGTACTGGTCAGTTTAATGCAGAGGTTTCTCGGAAGGAACTTGTTACTATGATTTTGATGCATGAGTATCCACTCAGTATGGTGGATCACTTGTACTTCAAAATATTTTGCAATTCTCTGCAACCCTTGTTCAAAGTTTCTTGTAGAAACACTTGTAAGAGTGACATTCTTGCTATGTATGGGATTGAGAGGAAAAAGATGCAAAAGTTGATTGATGGTAACAAAGGTCGAATTGCTGTCACCACTGACATGTGGACAACAGGTAATCAAAAGAGAGCATACATGGCTGTAACTGCTCATTATGTTGACAATAAGTGGAACCTTAGGAGCCACTTGCTAAGGTATATGACATATTGGCTGTTTGAATCTTTCATTTTTTTGTGTTTAACAATAACCACTAACTAATGAATGGTTGTGCCTCTTGTTTGATGTTGTGTATCACAGGTTTCTCTACGTTCCTGCTCCTCATACTAGTGAGAAATTAGCAAGTGTGCTTCGAGAGGCCCTCATGTCCTGGAATGTGGATTGTAAGTTATCCCCTATCACTCTTGATAATTGTTCTACAAATGATGCCATGATTCATAAGATGAAGAGAAAGATGGTTCTTTCTGACTTCATAATGAATGGTTCATTGCTACAAATGAGATGCTCTGCTCATATTCTCAACTTAATTGTGAAAGATGGACTTGAAATTATCAAAGATGGGATTGAAAAGATTAGGAAAAGTGTGGTATATTGGACTGCAACTCCAAGGAGAGTTGAGTTCTTTGACGAGACTGCTAAGCAAAAAGATGTTGGTATTTCTACCAAACTTGCACTAGACTGCCCTATTAGGTGGAATTCCACACTCACTATGCTTGAATCTGCAATTCCTTACAAGGATGTGTTCACTCGTTTGAGTCAGAGAGAACCTAATTATACTTTTGTGCCTAGCAGTGATGATTGAAAGTTTGCCACTGTGATCTCTAAAAAACTGGAGGTTTTCAAAAAAACTTTCAGATTTGTTTTCTAAAAGCAATTATCCTACTGCTAATTTGTTCTTTCCTAAGATCTGTGACTTGAAATTCGAACTGAATGAGTGGAAATATGGTCCTGATGAGATCATTGGTGCAATGGTTGAAAAAATGTGGATCAAGTTCAGCATATACTGGACTGATATTCATGTGTTGTTTACTGTGGCTGTTGTGCGTGATCCTGCATACAAGCTTGAGTTGATTGGGTACTATTATGAAAAGTTTCAAAGCCTTGATCCTACTCTTGACCCTGCCACTGTTAAGACCACTATTTATAATGTGGTACGTGAGTATCAGTTGAAACAGAGGGCTAGGGATGATCTTTCTGCCTCCTCTGGTTCTGGAAATGGTCTTGCTGTGCCTACCTCTAGCGACCTTGGCTTTGAGCTTTATCTAAGCCGAAGGAAAAGGTCTAAAACAACTTCACTGTGCTCTGAATTGGACCATTATCCGAGTGAGGGTGTTAGTCCTCGAGCTCCTAATGTTGGTGTTTTGGATTGGTGGAGGGTGAATGCTGGAAAATACCCTCTGTTGCAAGAGGTAGCAAGAGATTTGCTTGTTGTACCAGTGACCTCTGTGGCCTCAGAATCAACCTTCAGCTCCTGTGGTAGGCTGTTGGATCCTCACCGGAGTAGGCTGCACTTTGAAACTGTTGATGCAATCATGTGCACCCGTACCTGGATTAAGGATGATATTAGCAAAGGTAAGGGGTTTATTTAATTGTTTCCAGCTCTGTTTGTGGTTTAATGTGAAATTAACTAACTCAATTCTCCTTTCTTTTGTCTGCAGATGCTGGAAAGGAGGGGATTAACGAATTAGATAGCTGTTTTTTTCCATTGACAATGGAGGATCCCAGTTGTGAAGACTTTAAGAAAGGAGGTTAGTGAATACTGAACAATTAGTTAGTAATTTCAATTTCAAAGTTGGTGAATACTGAACAAATTTGTATGTGGTCACAGATTTTCAAGATCGTGCACTCATGGACTTTGATGCTTGAAGATCAAACATGCGACTGCTGCTGCTGAGTGCTTGTTGCTGCTGGAGAGACTTGCTGCTGTTGTCTGCTGGAGAGTTGAGACTGGAGAGTTGCTGCCTGCTGGAGAGTTGCTACTGCCTACTGCTGGAGAGTTGCTGTTGTTTAATGTTGAGCTTGATGGCTCATTTTCTTTAAGTTTGCCTTGCTGCACTTTGGTGGATTTGTGTTTTGCTAGTTGCTACTCTGTTTTATAGCTTGGATTGAAGTTTATGAACTTGTGACTATGAATTGGATGCCTTGATCCTTTTGGATTTGTTTAGACAGTTCAGATTTTGGAAATTAGAGCTAGAGTGCCATTTGATTTTTCTCTAAGAATTTCCAGGTTGCATCCTTTGAATTTTGTTTGTTTTGTTTTGGTTTGGTTTTTTTCCAGGCTGACAATGGTAGCGGGTATACCCGATAACCCGATTGGAGCCCGCTACCCGATGGATTCAGAGTTGGGCCTGAAAATAAGCCCAGCAAGGCTAGTGGGACGGATTCGGGAAAAGCCCGACAGGCTTTCGGGCGGGTGGCGGATAGCCCTCCCCAGCCCCGATCCGACCCGTTGCCAAGCCTAACCATACCAATATTGCATTCGGTCAAGTTTGGTGCGATCCAAATGACAATTCAGTCCATTCTTTTCAGTATTTATATAATCAATGGAACCAAAGATTGAGCCACATTAAATTCGGTTCGATATGATCCGATCCAAGAATCGATTTTGTCCGGCGTATTCCAGTATGGACTAACCCGTTGCACACTCCTATTCGGAGGCGAATGTACATTAACTCTGGAGTAAATAGTAGATATAACTTGGTGAGATTGAAATTCAAAAACAGAATTGGACAACATTAGGTGGACTGGACTTGGAGGGGCAAATTGATCAAATCTGAATTACCATGTTGCCTTTCTCCTGTTAATGTATGAGACGTAGGGTATTATTGTAAATATATAACTAGTAGTAGAGCTAGGGTTAAGCCGTATAAGGCTATATATTCAGTAGGTTCGGTTGTATAGGGGTACGGTTTTAAGGTGATAATATTATTGACCGTGAGCTCTCTAGCTTATCGTAGTGTAGTTCTGTTCGATATCACGTAAATTCTGTATCATTATCTCTTTATGCATGATTTTCGTTGTTTGATTGACATCTCCAACCATGAAGGTAGGAAAGATTGATCCAAAACAATGAGAATATCGCTCAACATTGAATTAGAGAACATTGTGGATAACGAGAGTCTGCTTTGGGTCCTTCATTTCGTCACTAGAGTCGCCTTCTGGTATCATTGCTGCCAAGGGCAAAACCTCAATTTATGGAACTTTTCTTTGAGTGAATACAGTCACAATCTGGAATAATTTTTCACCATATATATGATCTTATCAATGATTATCATCTTCTTCTTTGTCTTTTACCAGTCTTTCATTTCCCTTTGGCTTCTCTTTATGGCTGTTAATGATGGAAACACATGGGGTTAGAAGTGAACTTGTTTAACTCGTGAAGCAAATTGTCAAAAGGCATTTGCTGTTTTAAAGTTGCAGAAAAGGGCAGGCAATACTTTCGTCTAAAGAGGTTATTAGCTAGCTTTATTGATTGATTGAATGCAATCAACCACCAATTAGCGACTAAATAACCAACGTGACATCTTTGGAAGGACCTTTAAAAGAGAGAAATAACTTATCCCTCTCATTGGTTTTAATGTCAAGTTGTCAACAACTCGATTGTTTTGTATATTACTCGTGGATTTGATCTCTGTAGGGGATATTGTTAAAGGGAAAAGGCGGTCAATTCAACGTAGTCTTCTAGGTCAATCTCGAAAGTGGGTCCATCAATATAACTAAGTTAACAGGAATTTTATACAACCTCAAACTGGTTTGCGAGTTAAACTTTGATAAGGTGATTCAACGATCAGACTTATCTAGCAGGTTGTCTACATATACTCAGTCTCCCACATTACCTAGTTGCATTTCACTATATGTTCGGTTTTGAGTGGGTTGCTCATCTTACCTTCATCTAAAATGCAACGGTATTGTATTGATTGCATTTACGATGCCAAAATTCGTTTTTAGGCTCTGATATCGAACTTTATATTTCTACATTTTGCCTTATGATATTTTTGAAACTTTGTTCCTTGATTTAGATATATGTATTTTCAATTGTAATTATTTGTTCTAATAATGCAATTATTCTTTGGAGTAAATATATTCTATAGAATTACCCCAGTTGTTTTATATATTAAAAATTTAAACATTTCCTTTGGTTGTAGCCATCTTAGTAATTCTATGTTTTAAAGGTTGTCTAATTTAAATATAAGTTTTAATAATATTTATTGAATTAATATAGTTTGAAAAGTTTTGCATACAAACATGTAATTAAAAGTAATGAAAATTTTAGGTTGGATAGAAAATTAACGGATGGTCTTTGGGACTTCTTCCGTAATACTCGTTGCACTAAACTTAATTTAGTGATATGGTTGCACTAAAACCCAAAGTTCAGTGATATTCGTTGCAATTTACCCAAAATGTGGGTAATAAGTAATAACTAATAAGTAATGATTGCTACTGCTGCATGGACTCTTTCCTTTGCATTTTGTTGGTTTCCTTTTGGTTAAAGTTAAGTGGTTAGGTTGTAATTGTATGTTTTCAGTCATTAAACAGTTAGCATAATGATAGTAACGGGTGGGATAATGATGGACACAAACTACCACTTTATCTTCCTAATCTGTCACTGTTCTCATTCTAAAACTGGATAATTGATTGTTGGTTCGTCTCTCACCGGTTGTTGACCCCAAATCTGAGTTGAATAATAATGAAAGCCCAAATTCAAGGCGAAACTGATGAGCCAAGAAATCGAATGGCAGGAGCTTGATACACAAGAAAAGTACTATGAGAGAAATGCAGAGAGTTCTACCCAACCCTGCAACATGGGAATGAAAGATTGTAAAACCATACCAAAATCGTAAAAGTCAATAATACTGTATTTTATAATGAAATCATAGTTCAATATTCCAGACTGCTAAATACTATCTATCTATTTAGCATCCGAACATCCGGTAGGAGGTTTCTTGATCGGACGCCAGTACGACCCTTACTTGAAACACAAAATCATAACAATCTCCACCATCAAAATCATTTGTGGAACTAAAAGCCAACAGCTTCCATTACATTATTTAAAACATGACAACGGCTATGTCCCAGACTCAACAGCCAAAGGGAACTCGAACAGAAGTTGACAGCGACTCGGGCAAACCTAAAAAATCCACACCAACACCCTTAAAAACTCTCCAGCTTCATTTACTAACCATGGTCAAAGAAAACAAAGGTCAAATGGTCTGGCAAGGCTGAATACAAGTTAACTTCTTGAGAAACAGGAAGATAAGAAGAGCACAGAGATGAATCCTAATCAGAATGATAAACTAGAAATTGTACAAACATCTCGCTGAACAGGTAACCTATATATTTCACACAAAAAAGGAGAGAAAAATGGACACAGAAACAACAAAAACCGGGGGAGAGGTAGTGATCACTTTCATTTCTCTTCATTGGAATGAACTGGAAAGCAGAGGCATTTATCCTTCATCGCATCCGATTCACTTGCATACTCTTTGAACTTGTACTCCTGCAGCTGCCTCGAAGAAGACGGTACTTTCCCCTCACCGTAGCACTGACTACACAGGCTGAAACTCGACTTCATCTCCTTGAACCGGGAACCGATGATAGGGTACCTGCAAACCGAGCAGACATGGGAACCATGCCGGTTTCTGTCCTCAGCTTCTAGCTTCACTAGGGTCGAAAGGATACCAAATCCCCAGTCTCGATCATCAAACATGACTTGGAACTCGTTGAATGACACCATGGAGGAATCAGTTTCTCCATGAACCTCCAGGATTTCGCTGATTCCTTGAGACGGAAGGTACATAGCTCTTAACAGCTTGATGTACCCTACAGCATCAACTCTCTTGATCTGAGAACCTCCTTCATTCACAGGCCGCCATAGTAGAGCATCGAAGGCAACCCGCTTCCTCTTCTCGGGGCTACCACTGCATAGGGGTGCAAGAACAGCAAAGAACATACCCAGATCAACCCTTCCTGAACCCGACTCATCGAGAACCGAGAGTATTCTCTCGTTGATTCCTTTCACCGCTCCCTGGAAGATCTCGGGTTTCAGGAAATTAAGGAACTTTCTTAGAATCTCTTCCAAGTTAGGCTTCCGTATGGACTTCTCGGGTACACCCCCGCCAGAGTAAGAAACAGGTACATCGTTCTCTCTCATTTCCTTCTTCAGAAGATCCACATCACACCGATTCAACCGGGTGATCCTCTGGAAGGCTCTGATTTGAAAGGCGTTGCGAAGCTCCTGTCTCTGTGTGGTTTTCTCGCCCAAGGTTTTGAACTTGGAGAGCTCCACGGTGATAAAAGGACCGTCACCGTTAGCAGTTCCATTGGGCTTGACTTTCTTCTTCTGCAGCTGCTTCAAGTGGTAGATAGCATCGTGCAACTCAACCCTATTGGTCATTTTCAGAGCCTTCTTAAGAGTTTTCTTTGCTTCCTCAGTTTCTCCAGCACCCAATAATGAAACTGCCATGTTCAGCTGAGCTCGCCAATGGTTTGGCCATAAAACCAGCACCCTGCTATACATTTCTGAAGCTCTCTGAAACCTACCCAAGTCCATGTAAAGCCCACCCAGATTATAGAGCGCATCCACATGTCCGGGTTTCAGATCTATAGCCTTCTGAAACACTTCTATAGCCTTCTCATCCTCTCCCATTGCATGCAAAGCAGAAGCTAAATCACAATGGGCATCGGCATAGTCTGGTTTCAGATAAATTGCCTCTTCCAAGGCCTTAACAGCTGCCCTGTATTCTCCCACCCCAAAAAGGGCACTACCTAACAACTTCAAAGCTCTATAATGTGTTGGACAAAGAATGGCAGCTTCTCTGTAATATTCACAAGCACTTAGAACCATACCTTCACCTTCCAGCGCAATGCCGAGATTAACATAAATCTGAGGCAACAAATATGTCCATTGATTCCCACCTGCCTCAGCTGCCTCAAGTGCCAGCAAGAACTCCTCTTTGGCCTCTCTATATCTGCCTAGAACATACAGGCAATTCCCAGTTCGGAAATGCGGCCTCACATCCATGGGCTGAAGCTCACAAGCTCTCTTGAAACTCACTAAAGCTTCCTTGAACAACTGATGCTCATACAAAACCCTCCCAATTGCCATATGACCATCAAATGCTTCTTCTCTGGATCTAGCCCCATCAGCTCTAGTCCTCAAAGCTCCCAATTCCTTCACGAAGGATGCATAATCATGCCCGGCCTCTTCCCAGATAATTCTCTTATCAGAGATCTCCGATGAGGGACCCAATTCCCTCGACCAACCGGCGTCGGAGTAACTATCAACGTTATCCCCCTTCAATTTCCCGTCTTTAGCCTGCTTGGCTTTCAACCTCTTGATCAAAATCTCCAAATCATCGACAATCTTCCAAGTATCGTCGAACACAATACCGTGGTTAGGAGAGACAGCCCACGCCGCAGTCCGCTGCTTCTTCTGCGCCTCAATTACTCTCTCGTCGGCAATCGACGACGACGCCTCCGCCGCTTCCGAGATCCCTTTGTTGTTGTCGTTGTTGTTATCGTCCAAATTGAGCTCCAGCTCCAGCGCGTCGAAGTCACGGTCGACGTCGCCGGCACCGTCGTCGTAGGTCCGCAAAAGCCCCTCGTATGTCAAACCTTTGTCCCCGTCGATGAACTCGCCGTACGTCCGAAACACCTCGTCGAGGATGGCATTGATTTGCTCCTCGCTGAATTTCACCCGGGGGTTAACGGCCACCACCAGAGCCGACATTTCCTCCCTGTTGAGCCCGCCGTCGCTGTTGAGGTCGAACTGCTGGAAAATCCTCTTCACCTTCTCCGATCTGCTCCCTCTGGTGGCCATTTCTTCTCCTTCCTCTCTCCCTCCCTCCTGTGATATTCCTAGGGCTGAGGTTCGGGAGACGGGAGAAGACGAATTACAGCGAAATTAGGAGGAAATGAGAATTTTACAGAGAAGTGGAGGAATTGGGAAATTTTTACAATCTCTTAATCAACGCAGAGCTACACAGAGGAAATGGAACAAGAAAACAGTCTCTCTCTCTTTCTCTTCTCCCTCCCGCCCGCTTTCTTCCTCTGAAATCGGCAGAATCCTAGGGTTTAAGATTAGGGATTTTCCCGCTCTCATTGCCGTTTCTGGAAACCTTGGAAGGGGAAAGGAAGAAGAAGCTAAGGGAGAGTCTTTTCTTTCTCCTTCTTGCTTTCCCTTTCCTTTTCCTTGTCCTTAAAAACTTTTTTTTTTGGTGTTTTTCCCCTTTTCCGCTTTTCTTCAGGAGAATCTTTTTTTTTTTTTATCGACCTCTAATCGACAGCTGGTAGTGAAGAAATTTTTTTGGTTGTTACTAATTTACCTAATAAATAAATAAAATTCTATAGGGACTACTTCGGTCTCTACTGATTATTAATAATTTTTCGTTATGAAATTATTAATTCCGTATTTTCCTAAAGAACCAAGGTTGTTAAACCCCTATTGAACCCCTGGTTGGATCCGGTCTGACTCAAGTCGAGCTTCAAAACGGTCTCCAGAAAGCCCCTCGGTCCGACCCTCAAAGTGGAAGAAGAAGAGAGGAGGAAGAGAGGAAGATGAACGAAGGAAGGAAAACGGTGGGTGGGTCATGAAAGTTAGATAGATTTATTTTGGGGAAAATAAGTTTTTAATACATATATGCAAGATAAATGTTATTTCAATCATTAAATATTTAATTACTAACTTATTTGTATATATATTTAGTAAACGTCTAAAACGGCTCAAACCGGCCGGACCCCGATCAGACAATTAAACTTCAAACCCCTTGCTTAACAGGCGCAATGACATAAACCGGTTTGACAACCTTGTTTATAATAGAGGGAATCCTTAGTTGAAATGAATGAATGATTGAAAATTTTAGAAAAATTATTATTGATAGCCTAGTTTGATTGTACCCCTAAAATGAATGTTTAATTGTCTTGATTACCATATGTCAACACGAAGGTTTCATTTGGAAAAAAATAAATTTTGATTAGCATATTTATACGTGAAATAATGTAAGCAAAGTGAGAAAATAGTCATGTTATAGTTTGGGATGACGTATAATTAATTTAGCTACTAAAAAATACATTAAGAATATAATAAAAATTATTGATATATCCATTAAATCATATGTTATCGCAAATATTAACTTCATAAATTCATCTAATCAACTGAACTCACTATTATGAAGAGAACCAGAATCACTTTTTCATTTTACATGTCATAATTGAAGCTATTTTTTGAACCACTAAGATAAATATATCAAAGAAATTGTTTACTTATTAGTCTATAAATCCTCTCCAAAATCGAAAAGCTGTCCCTAGTAACGAATTTCTTGTATGAAGTATTAATAATTATAAAGTATTCTTTGAGACATGAAGCAGCAAAACTATGACTCTGTCTGTCTCTACCAAGTTAGGTAATTATTTGTTGTGTTTTTTCCCCCTGCTGTAAACAGCCTCAACATAGACCTAGTTAGAATGTGATCCCAAGGCACATGCTTTGACCAAAATAACAACTAATTGTTTTGTTAGAATTTATTTATTTATGCTAATTACAATCTTGCTTGCCGTCTCATTGTTGTATGGTATCGATCTGGCTGTGGGCCTATCGACCGTCAGTTGGCTAGTGGTGGGCTGAAAATGGATCCGTGAGTAAAGCGCTCGGGCCAAGCTGGCCCACCTTTTTTCTTACCGCAAAATCATCTTTAATCTTTTATTCGACCAACCGATACAAAGAAACAATATTACACTCCCTACACTTTTTATAGGAAATCAGAAATTAGATCAATATACTAATCCAATCATCTGGATGAGAATATCTAGCTAGCGATCGAGCAACCTAATCAGCTCTAACATTAAGTTTTCGAGAGATCGCTTTGACCTTGACTTGTGGGTTTGCTTTTAGAATTGAGATAATTGATCCAATCCAGGTCGCTCCTCGCCATGGCCAACTTCCAAAATCGTGATTAAGGGCTTTGACAAGCACTTGGCAGTCAGATTGTACTATACATTCAACGTCATATTTTTTTAAGCTAATTTGAGACCTTCCAAAAGAGTTTTTGTTTCGGCTTCGAGCGGGGTGGAATAAAGGAGGGTATCATCTCGCCCATCACACACTTGTCCATGGTGGTTAATGACCACAACACCATAAGCCGCCGACTAGGAGTCGCTTAAGAACGACCCATCATAGTGAATCATCAAATTGTGATTGCTTGGCGCTGGAGAAGTAGACGAGTGGGCTCCCCTGAGCTGAATAGAAGTAGAGACGAGCAGGGGCGTCTTCAGGCATGTCGTCCATTCAATGAATTCCTTTTAAGTTTTCATAATAACGTTCGGATGCCAAGGGATCCGATTCTTGAAGACACATTCATTCCTTGCCTTCTAGATATTCTGGTAGAGAAAGATAACATGTGTCAGAGTTCCTGGTTTAATAGCATCCTTGGGGTTGTACAACCAGTCCAGGAAAGCTGTAGCCTGATATGGAATAGGAAGGTTTGGGAAGATAATATTCCATGATTCTCTTGCATGATTATAAGAGAAGAGGCAGTGGAACATGGACTCAATGGGGGAATTGGCACACTTGGCATTAGGGATGGCAACAAAATCCGAACCCACGGGTGCCCTACCCCATCCAACCCGGTCAACGCGGGTAAAATCCGTGTTGATGAATTTTGGGCTGGGTTTGGGTTTAAACCCGTTCACTATTCACCGGGGTGGGTTTTGGTTTAGGTAAACCCTCCCCATGGATACCCGCCCACACCAATATAATTAATTTTCCCGGTATATTTAATATTATAAACAACTAATTTTCTTTATGTTTGTGGAGACATATCTAATTTTTTTCTTTCTAATTGTGTAGAATGAAGTTGATATTATCGAGTGGAGAGTGAAAAAGCTTAATTCACAAGAAGGAAGAAGCTATCAATTGATCATGTTGTTAATGGATAATTTGTGATTTGGTTAATTTTTTTTGAGTTTTCTAGATTGGTGTTGAACAATTTGTATAGTTATTTTGTGATTTGCTTGAATTTTCTAGAATGGTGTTTTATATATGGATAATTTGTATTGCGAGATTGACATTTGACTTTAATGTTGATAGAAACTTGTTATTGTAAACTTTTTACGACAAAACGCGTGGGTACCCATGAACCCGCGGATACCCAGCGGGTTGGGTTGGGTTTGAGTTTTTCAAACCTAGTGGGTTTTACCCCGGATTTTTTTCACGGATAAACCCATGGGTTTGGGTTTGGCAAAACCCGACCCAACCTGACCCATTGCCATCCCTACTTGGCATGTTGTGTTGGGTGATAATTTCCTATGGAAGAGTCTCTCTTTTGTTGCAGGACCATTCCTAGAGCATCTCCAGACGAAGAATTTGAGTTTTGGAGAGATATCCAGACTCCACATCCATTTTCATTTCTCCATGCTGCCCATCGTTTGAGGCTCAGTTGAGGATAAGTGAACTGCATGGTAAGCCGACTTGACGGAGAAATTGCCTTTTTCATTTAATCTGCACGTGCAGAAGTCCTTGGAATCCAAATCCCCAGTAGGAATTCTCAAGATAGCCTCCATCTCAGAACCATAGACATACCCCTGGATTAAGTCATAATTCCACTTCTTTCCCTCTGTATCAATCCAGGTACTGACTCTTATGTGATTCTGTGGTGCACTTTGAATGCTTGCTTTAGGAAGGAATGGGACCCATGGGTCCTGATCAATCCATGTATCATCCCCTGATTCAATCATTCGAACTGCTCCCAAATCAACTTTTTTAGACTCCCACAGACTAGCCCGGATCCATGATGGTCTGCTCCCTTTTTTTGTCGAAAGGAAGTTCCCTCAAGGGAAATAGAGTCCTTTTAGGAGGCGACTCCACAAGACATCTGGATTAGTAAGAAGTCTTCACGCTTGTTTGGCAAGATGGGTCAGATTGAAATCTCTAAAACTTCGGAAACCCAAACCTCCTTCTGACTTTGGGACACAAAGAACTTTCTTTATACACCAATGGAGTCGAGCCTGACCAGAAGAAATTGTTGAGAAGTGAATCCATTTTCTTCGATAGGGACACTGGAAGAAGGAAGAGTCACATGATAAATGATGGTATAGCCTGAATAACGGATTTGAGAAGGACTTCCTTCCCTCCGTGAGAAAGAAGCAGGCTCTTCCAAGCTTTCCCCATCTTTTCCATTCTTTGGATAAGGAAGTAAAATGTTTCTTTTTTCGAGTTTCCCCATTCTATTGGGACTCCAAGATATTTGGAACGACAGTTAGATGTTGTAAATCCAATATGAGAGACAATGTCGTTCCTTTCCTCTGTCGGAACATTCCCACTGAAGAAGACAAATGACTTGTTAATGTTTACTTCCTGCCCAGTGATTGCCCCATAATCATTGATGAGGTCCAAAATTCTCCCTGCCTCTTGAATGCTAGATTTCCCAAAGATTATTGTGTCATCTGCGAAGAGACAATGAGTGAGAGTAGGGCATCTCGCGTTTAGCTTAATTTCCTTGATGCGATCTTCTGTCACTTCCTGGTCAATAAGGAAAGTGAGAGCATTTGACATCAAGATAAAAAGAAAGGTCGAGAGAGGATCTCCCTGTCTAATGCCTTGTGAAGGGCAGAATGTCTCTGGGGATTCCCCATTGAACAACACCGAGAATCTGACTGTACGAATACATGAGCTAGCCCATCTGCACCATTTCTCATCGAACCCATATTTTCTAAGAGGAGTTTCAAGGCACTCCCAATCAACCATGTCATATGCCTTCTTCCTATCAAGTTTAAGCATATCTCTTCTATTACCCAGCTTGTGGTTCTTGAAATGATGAAGATCTT